AACACTTCCATTTATATCAAGGACACCAACATTCTCCTAAGAAGGGAAATTCTGAAACTACCTTCACCTCCTTCCTCTCCACTTTCTCCAAGTCCTATTAGATCTTCCTTCCAAAGTCAGTCTTGTCACTCTTATTTATTCCTCTGCCAACGTTCTCACCCAGCCATTCATGATTAAAGAGAAATTACTGAGGTGCCCAGGTGGCTCAGTAGGTTGTGTCCAACTCCTGATTTTGGCTCAGGTCATGATGTCAGGGTCGTGAGATCGAGCCCCACATTTGGGCTCCATGTGCTAAGCAGGGAGTCTGCTTAAGATTCTCTCCCTCTCCTTCTGCCCCTCCCCCTGCTGTGCGCTCATTCTCTCTCTCTCTCGAATAAATAAATCTTAAAAAGGAAAAAAGAAATTATTAAGCACCTGTATGTACCAGCAAGGAGTACACATGCTGAATAAGACACACGTAGTCCTAGCCTCCCAGGGCTGATAGTTCAAAGGAATTTCAGCCTCCAGAACTTCATTAGAAGAAACTGCCTCCTAACTGGCATCCTTGAATTTAGTTTCTGTTCTTTGCAAGCCATCCTGAATCAGCTGCTAGTCAATCTAAAACACAGGATGATTCTAGAAGATACCCTATGGCCTCAGAACGAGCTGTCCCAGGTTTGCCCCCTCATGCAATGCAGTCTCCCCTCTTCCTCCAATTGGAACCCATCTGCCCCAACCCTGTCTGGCTCCTTCACATACCCATGTCAGCACTTCTGCCCATGCCATTCCTCCAGCTCTGAATGTCATCTCTTAGAGTTCTCCAGAGTCCCAGTTAGCCATACACCCTTCCTCAAGCCTTCTCCATTGACTGGGAGTATAGAGATCTCAATTTCTTTACTCATTCATTCTTTTGACACTTCCTGAGTCTACTAGATGTTAGGATATGGGTGAACAAACTGTAGTTCCTACCCCCCTGAAACATCAAATCTAGGAGATAAGATAGAGATCAACTCAAAAAATCAAAGATTTATTTTTAAATTTATTTTTATTATTTGATATTTTATTATTTATTATTCATCAAAAAATGGATGATTCACAAGCCATGTGAAGTTCTATGGTAAGTAAGTAAAATAGAACTTAGTTTGGAGGTGATATTGGGTAAGAAAAGGCTTCCTCCTTGAAGGACTGGACTTTTGAGCTAAGATTCGATGCAGCACTCTCCAGTGGAACTTCCCGCAGTGATGGAAATGTTCTGTGTCTGTGCTGCCCCATACAGTAGCCACCAGCCATGCATGGCTCCCAAGCATCTGAAATGTGGCCAGTGCATCCAAGGAACCAAACTTTAAACTGTTTTTTATTTAAATACTTAAATTTAAATAGCCACACATGCCTAGTGACTAGTGTATTAGATGGTGTAAATCCAAGGATGAAGAGGAGTTAGATACATTGACAGAAGGCGGGAAGAGTCTGTAGGAAGGAGAAACAATGTGTGTAAAGATCCTGAGACTAGAAGGAGCATTCACTGCATGCTTGGGGACAGGACAGAAGGAGAGTGTGGCTGGAACACAGGCAGCTGAGAGAAGCATCATGAGATGAGCCAGGAAAGTAGGTGGAACCCAAACCAGGCAGGGCCTGAAGACCACATTAAGGAACCTGAGTTCTATCCAAATAGTAGTGTGATGCTATGGATGGATAGTGAGCATAAGAGTGACAGGATCCAGTTATATTAAAAAAAAAAAAAAAATCTGGGCACCTGGGTGGCTCAGATGGTTAAGCCTCTGCCTTCAGCTCAGGTCATGATTCCCAGGGTCCTGGGATCGAGTCCAACATCCGGCTCCCTGCTCAGTGGAGAGCCTGCTTCTCCCTCTTCCTCTGCAGCTCCCCCTGCTCATGCTCTCTCTCTCTCTCTGTATCTCTGTCTCAAATGAATAAATTAAAAAAAAATCTTTAAAAAAAAAATCACTCTAGCTGCAAATAGGAGATGGGATTGGAAGGGGGAAGTGCATACGTGACATCTGTTAGGTTCTTGCACGAATCCAGACAAGCAACAAAGGTACGTGGTGCTAGACATGGAAAGAAGGCAAAGATCTGACCTGAGTTCAGGCTTATCGCCAACTCCTGGGTGACTTAGGGAAAGTCACTTAACTCTCTGGGTCTCCATTTTTCTTTTCAACTGTAAAATGGGAACCACCACCCTGCCCCACCTACCTTGTATGACAATCAGAGGCTATGAACATGCTTTGTAAATCACACAGGTTCTACGACTGTAAGAGGTTAACATTATTGCTCAATCCCACATGGGTTACTCCCTCTCTGCTCCTCCTCCCTCCAACCATTACTCATACAGCTAGTACAACTTAGAACAAAACACTACTTCGTTGGCCTCATAGGTGCTGGGTTTTTCCATGCAACTTAACTATTTCATCCTTAGGGGCAGAGAATTTGTTATATACCTCTTCCGTACACACTCCAGGGTTTAGCAAAAACCATAGCACATAGTAGGTGCTCAGAAAATTGTGTGAGAACTAGATGATACTCGACAAATGCCTGTTGGCTGAATGACACCTCTGGCTTATCTTCTTCCTTTTTCCTAATGGACGCTGGTATTCACTAGACACGAACTTGCAATGTTTTCACTTTCTTGGGATGATTAAGATTATGGGTCCAAAAAGAGATAGAAGTCCTTAAAATCAGGGACAGTGTCTACCTCCAAGACTTCGGTGTTCCCATAGCACTTTTTAGATTTGTGAGTACCAACCCACTCGAGACCCTCCAATTTTAGGAGCAGTGGGAGCAGTGGAACAGAGAATAGGGTCTGGAGCCATCTTGCTAGGGGTCTTGTCCTGTCTCTAACGCCTGTTAGTTTCACAGCCTCCATATTCTCATGTGTCAAACAGAAAGAACGGCAGTCCATCTCACACAGTTATGTGACACTTAAGCAAGATGAGGGATGCCAGAATTTTATCTGTTCGTTTTTAGCTCTAAGTAACATTAATGCAGCAGCCGTTGACTGAGCAGCAACGCTATGCCAGGCAACATGTTAGATGCTGGGAGTACAGGGGTGATTCTCTTCAAGAGTTCAGCTCGTGGCTTTGAGGAAACCACGCAAGTCACCAATTACAATCCAATCCGATAATGACCAGATCAAGTGCTATGTGGTGAGGACAGGTGAAGACAGTGGGCTCTGGGGCGGCAGAGAGGGCTTTCTCACCCTCTCTTTCCTCTCAAGTTGGCAAGGGCAGGCAGGGGCCAGAAGTCATCAAAGAAGGCTCCCAGGAGCAAGTAATGATGGAAATTACAAGGACCTGCACAGGAGTTGGGCAGGTGAAGAAGGTAAAAGAACATTCCAGATAATGAAAATAACAGACATTTCATCCATTAATGTACTCAACAAACATGAATTGGGCATATCAGAGGCAAGGAAATCTAGGGAACTATAGATAAACAAAACATGACACCTGCTCAGGGGGCACACACTTTTCACAGGACCAGACGGTCAAGGAAAGGCACCTTCCTTCCTTCTCTAAACCTCACACCAGCAATGAGCTGTGTCAGGCCTATGCTATGCCTGCTGGTCCACGGCCACATGGCCATACTCCATGTGAGGGGACAGCCTAAGACCCAGCAGCTTTACCCCAACAGCCTCAATGAGACAGCCTCGCTTAGGACAAATGCCCACGGCATTCATGGGGCTCACGGGGCTCACATGGATGACGGGCTGGCCGTCACCAGATGATTAAAAATCTACCATTAAACCAAGCTGTACTTAGAGCAGACCTTTTTTAAAGTAGCTTTTCATCAGGGGATTGTATTTTCTTCTTGACAATTTCCTTAATGGCAAGAAAGGCTATATGTTCAAAGAACAAAGGAGACCCAAGGGCAAAGAGGAGAAGATTCTCACCAAGGCAGGGGCCGAGAGTGGGGAGGGAGGAGGAAAATTAAACAGGCAGAAGAGATGTGCCCCCACTTTTCTTCCTATCAAAAGCACCGGCGCTGCCCACGCCCACCTCCTCTCTCTGCCTTCTTCCCTGGGGGTACTGACAGTAGCCCAGAGCTCATTAAAGTCTAAACAGACTGATCAATACACACAGAATGGTGAATTGTCCATCTGCAAATTACCAAGCCCTTCATGAATATTTAAGGAACAAAACTAGAAACAGAGAGAAAAGAGAAACCAGGACTTTTATTTTTCCCTCCAAAAGGAAAAAAAGACCAAAGTATCTCTGTCCCTCCAGATCACCAGGTTCTAAAACCAAACAGTCAAATGAGACAAATGAGCATCTCCTCCTTTCCCAAGCCAGCGGGCGGACTGCAATCCAAGGCCACTCCACATCAACATCTGTCTGGCACAACTCAATGTCCCTGCTTTCTCCAAACATGCCACAAGCGCTTGCCCCTCATGCCTTGGCACATGCTGTTGCCTCTGAACAAAATGAGGCTCCTCCCACTTGTCCACCTGGAAGGGAGGACAGTCCAGCGACTCAGGGTGCAGCGTTGGAGTCACTCCTGCCTCTGCTGCTTACTAACTGCATGAACTTGGGTGAGTCACCTAACCTTTCTGCACCTGTTTCCTCCTCAGTACAATAGGGGTTGTTAAAGGACTACCTTCCTAGGGTCCTTGAGAGGAGTCACATACACGATGCATGCTAACACAGTCTACATAGCACTGGGCACACATGAAGGCACAGGTGTTAGCTATGATTATCAGTGACCTCTTCCACATCTGGTCACATGTGACCAGAACCTCTTCATGTTCCACATCCTGGGTCCCGTCCACCTGAACCCCTCAAAGTTACTCTTTCCTCAGCTCCAGCCACAGCCACTGAGCCCCCAGCACCTACCGAGTCATAGTTTAGCCGTCTACTGGTCTCTGTCACTGGACTGTGAGCTCCTGAAAGGCAAGGCCTGTAGCTAAAGCACCCCAACATTGTCCCTGGTAGCAGGAGTGCACAATAGACGTGCTCAGCAGGTGGGAGCAGGGGAGCATACGCAAGGATAGAACGCCACAGTTGTGGCCATACCTTTGTGACAACACAGCATGCGGCCCAGATGTCCTCGGAGGACTGCTCATGGTGGTTGAACTGAGGCTCCCATTGGTTGATCGGCTGGTCTGCGAAAGCCAAAAGGATGCCCCTCTGGTCCACAAGAGCCGCACGCACACTGCCTGTTCCAACGTCCACACCCACATAGTAGCTCCTTGGTTCCTGATCTCTGCCAGGCATTGTGGTCCCTCCACCTGCAGTAACCAAGGACAAAAACCACATGAAGACCAAGTGGGTCTGCAAAATCAGGCACAAAACATCTTCAAGTGGAAGTAAAAGGGGCGCAGCTGACCAACTGGTGGCCATTTACTTATTCTACCCAACAAAATGGCCGAGTGCTAAAAGTATGTTAAGGGGCACACTGAGCTAGGTGGTGGGTAAACAAGCCAGGCAAGGCCTCAGACGTGGAGTTTCCATTCTTGGAAGGAAGTCAGATGTTCAGCAGTTGCAAGTTGCATAATAATTTAAGCAAAGTCGTGATATTGGGTGAAAAGTGCTATACAGGTATATATGGGGCTGTGGAATCCAGCCAATCTAGAGGTAACAGACACACATTTATTCTCACTGAATTTGAATCAGGAGGACAGTGGCCACAGTACTACAAAGTACTCATCTACCTCACCTACCCTATCAACCACTCATTCCAAAAGATCTACTAAGTACCTATTACATGCCAAACACGGTGAAAAGTACATGCACCCCCTCTATTCTTCACTGGGACTCTAGAAGGAGAGTATACTTAAATCTCTACTTTACAGGTAATCAGGGAAAGACTCCAAGAGATACATGACTTTTCTCTTACAGCTAGGTCCACACACATAAGAAAGTGTACATAATGCACATTGTACTGATGGGGAAACAGGTCTCGAAGAAGTGAAGAGACGTGGCAGCATCACTCAAAAGCAGCCTGGACCCACGGTCTCCCCTCTGTGCACTGCCAATCCCAGGCCCTTCCAGTTCGTTCTTAACAGCTTGCGGGGTCGTTTTGGAGAAGAGGCAAATATACTGCAGCCGAGTCATGAAGTGACTGGGAATGGGGAAGGAGCCTCATGGGAGATAGAATCAGGAATTTGTTAGACAATCTGTTTTCTTTACAGACCCCTTGTGAGTTACAAGGAAATCGGACCAGAGAACACTCAGGAATTCCTTGGCCTTCACTGCCGCTCTAAGTCCCTCTGGTCAGATTAGCCCATATGACAAAGAAATCTCACAGAGGCTCTCATTTCCCAGATCAGCCTTTCACTGAGTAAGAACAAGCCCCCAAGACAAGCACGCCGGTGAACAGGCTACAGCTCTCCAGGTGAGCTCGGGGCAGTCTTAGCACCCGGAGTCTCATTTCCACAGAGAAAGCGGTTTGAGCCCTTCCACTGCAAAAAAGGTAATGTTGCCTTGGCAAAGTCACACTTGGGGATTCTAAAACGAAGCCAGCCCACAGATGTTCAGTTACTGCTTCCTGGATATTTATCCCAGTCAAAAACAGCTTCATTAAGAGTGATTGCTTCTGACTTAATCACAATGATTCCCCAATGGGGTCTGCTCCCTTTGGCTTGCAGGCTCCCAGGCAGGTGGAGAGGGAAGCAGGGAGGCCACGGTGAGCACGTGTGCTACCTTCAGCTGGGCTCCAGCCTCTGCACTTTAAACCATCATCCTGCCTCCCTCGCTTCCAGGGTTTCAGGAGCTACACAGGACCCACAGCACCAGTTGTCAAACTATGCATTCCTTCGTCTTCTCCAAGCCAGGACTCACAGAAAATTTAAATAAAACAAGTCAAAGTAGAGCTGCTCCGTGTGAAACAAGGATGGGTCCAGCTCCACCCTCCCC